GTCATAATTTTAATCAATTAATGTAAATCATCTCAACCCTAGAAAAATACAGTCTGAAGTACGATAGTGCTTAATGCAATGTATTTATCTGTTGTTTCAGAACAACAGAAACCAATTTACCCAAAATTGCAAAATGAAAAACAAATCTTTGCTCAAAATGTCGAGAAGGCAGTCGCAAAAACGAAACTGAAATCCCTCGTAAATGCAAATCCAAACAATAAAAGCCTAGAACAAATTTGCGAAACTCTTCAAAACAGAGTAAACGAGTCGGCGGACGATGACAATAATTTAACAATCCAAACTAACGAAGAATCGGATAAACCAGAAAAAGGCCAGCTACGTGTTTTTCTGAAACAGGCCAAAAATACTCATGAATATGAAATCGTTTTTAACAAAGCCGTTGAGGTCAAAACAAACGAAACCGCAAAATCAAATCCATTAGAACAAGCATCGTTATCGTCACAATACGTTGGAAGACATAATTTACCGATACAAATAACTGAAAGAAGAAGGAGTATAGCAGAGCCTCTAACTCGTATTATTAGTCAAAATCCAAAAATTCCGGAAGATATAATAAAGCCACAGTCAATAAAAGAATCCATTCCACTCATTAATTCGTCACTCCTTGATAATCGTAAAACTGACCAAAATCCAGTTTCCACACCGTTACTAATGGATGTCAGCAACAAAAATGCAGCCCTAAAAAACTCAAACCAGCAAAATGTTACCACTTTGTGTCCATTGAATGGAATTCTTCAAACTCACAAAACCGTCGATGAGCCTTGCAACTTATCATTAAGCAAAACGACGCCTAAATCGATGATCTCTCCAGAACCGAACTTTGAAAAACAAGAAAATAGAAAGGTTCCCAAAAAGCAACCCAGAAGAAGGGCCTGTGCGGGAACCAGAGCAAAGAAACAAAATGTAACCCAAAAAGGAAAGAACAATACATCTACCGTTGAACACAATCAAGTAGTGCCACCTGTGTCGTTTCAAAATGGAAATTTCTTTCCGGCACAACACACTCTCCCTCAGCTAAATAACACATGTTTACCACAAAGACGCGATGAAATCAGTTACTTTCGGACGAATTCTATATCTCAGGATAATGTGCCCGATAACAACCTGTACTACCGACGATTACAAGTCCCTCAAACGAAACGAACTCTGCCTCATTCGTTTTACCCCATAAATCCCTTTAAACCACCCATACAAAACATTAACTTTCCTTGTATATATTCAGAAGAGACTCCCACCGCTGAAAATTACAGACAAAAGAAAACTTTGGAAGAATCTTTTTGTCAACGTCCTTACTTGTCAAAAGAATCGAATATTCCACACAACATGTATGCATTACCTCGTCCCCCTGTTTCTTCTCAAATAGAACAGGAAAGGCAGTTACTCAGTAGTTTGGATATCCTCAACAACTATCGATCGATGAATCTAAACAATGCAGCTTCTTCAAATCCCATCACTGAACACATGATTAATCAGGCATCAATAAATCTAATGCATTCGTTGCAGGATAAGAATAATAATGGATTATCTCTGTTTTCTTCCCCTTTTAAGCACAATTTTCCAATTGCGCCACATCGACTTAATAATTTTCCAATTTTGGAAAGCACAAGGAATACTTCAAATAGTTTTCATCAGCGAGAACATTTGAATAATAATACCAAGAGTACCACAAGCATACCTGAACCGATTACCACCCACGCTCCTTCTGGTAATCATTTTTCTGCTATGAGAAACTCAACCCCCACAGATGTATCTCTAATGCATCATCTCTATCGTCAGGATTTCAGTAAACCGCCACCGTATTCTGAAAAACCTGTAAACCCCCCTCCATATTCAGACGCTGTAAAAAGTAGAGTGTTTTCAAATGACCAAGCGCAACCAACCAATTTTATGTGTGGCCTATTGACACCCCCAAGTAGTTCATTAGACGTTTTGGAAATTTCTGAAGAACACGACAATTCGAGGCGATGCATCACATCAAAACCTGTGCATCCAACAGTCTCACACACATCCACATCAACCATAACAGATATAGATGAACCTATTATTGATTTTCCGACACCCAACGAAGAAATCCCACAACCTATATTGCAACCCACAAGGTATAATATCCCACAAAAACCCATTTCGCTTTCAAATCTTCCCAGAGACTCCGTAATTAAACCAAATTTCAGTATACTTAATTCAACTCGAACAACCAATTCTTCTGCTGGGGTCACAACTCACAGTGGTGCATCAATTCTGGAAAATGCAATTAAAGGCAATTCTAAGACTGAGGAAACCAAGAAACTGAAAGAGATTAGTACACAGACTGATCTTACAATTGACAGTATTTCGCCTACTACAACTGGTAAAGTTCAAGAAGAAGAAAGTATTAAAACAACAAAAAGAAAATTCAGTGAAGATACAAAAGACGAGATTCTAAACAAACTTAAGGCTTTATCATCCAATCCAATATTAACCACAGGAGATGAAAATAAAATCAGTTCAAATCGTCTGTATGAAAATGTTACTCCGGTAAATAAAAGTGATGAAAGTACTACTACTGTCATTTCAAAGGAAATTCCTACAAAAACTGAAAAATGTTCTGATAACATTGTGGTGATCTTAGAAGATTCCAGTAATGAAGCAATAATGAAGAATGAAGACGTAATACTGATTGAAGATTCGTCTGATGAAGCTGAGAACGAAACAATGGAGCACTGCCCCGCTGAAAATCAAAAGTCTGATGTGAAAGAAGACAATGAAAATGTCAAATCAAATTCTGAAGTAGAAACGTTACACTCCGAAAATTCAGACATTTCGAATTTGTGTAAAATCTTGCCGCCTTTGAACGACAGCGCCACGCTAGATCCAGATGAATATGTTAATGAAATTAAAGCTCTCGAAAAAAACGAAACTCCTTCAGAATTTTACGATTTTTATTTGTTTGTCACGAAAAAACAAATACTCAACGATCAAAAACCTATAAGTTTTAAGATATTTTTAGAGTTTCAAAATGCCGGTTCACTGAAGGCTATGGAGGAAGCATATAAAATATATATGATAAAAAGCGAAAAAGANACATCAAAAAATGCTTACCTGAAATTCAAGCACAAGCTTCTTCTCAATCCAGTTCTTAACATGAATAAATGTTATATTTTTTTCACCCACGATGGGATGGGCTGACAAAGATAAAGTGGGAACTGGTCGAAAACCATACCACAATCTATCACTTGGTGGAGGGGGAATATTCACAGCCAAAACACCAAAAAGATGTTTCACCTCTACCTTTATACCAAAATCGGTATTTGACACACCTATGTCAATAAGTACAGTTATAATAAAAGTGATTCTGGAAAATGAAGTTTGAAAGTATTTACCTTCCATTGCTTTCTTGACATATTTATTTTCTGTGGCTTTCTGGAAAAACTTTGACTCTGCAATTTTATCGACCATTTTCATAATTTTTTTGCCAGTATTCCCAGAAGATCCACTCGTCCCTGTTGGAGTTGAGGAATATTCTATGCTTGAATTTTGATCTTGACTCATTAAATAAACTGAATCATCGTCTGAACTGGTCTCTGCAGAATCTTCTATTTCAGAATTATAAATAGCTGAACATTCTTTCTCATACTGTTTATCTGAAAGTAAACAATTTATAAATATCAGTTAAAAAACCTTTTTATCAATTTTTCTCTTACCTATGGATGACGGGGGCTGTTTTAATTTCATTAGATTTAATTTTGTATAAACATACATACTAAAGCAGCCTTCGTAAGAAACATCTAAGTCTATCCATAAGCCTCTTTCGTCAGTGTAGGGCTCTTTTACTTGTTGAAAAACTGGAGCTTCGCTTCCTAGAAAAAGATAGCATGTTTATATGTTAAACAAATATGAGTGTATAAACAATTATTACCTAAGTACAAATCTTTCAGAGCAAGTTCTTCAATGAAATATGGTAGCCTTATACCACTCAATTTTCTTTGTATAAAAAGTTTTAAAGATTCAGACACCTGATCATAAGTTAATACGTCATACATCATACGACCAATAAGTACATTGAACCATAACAGATTATTGTTTAATGGAAAGATGAAAGAAATATCTTTATTTTCGTCTTCATCCTCGTCTTTATTTTGCTTTTCTTTAGAAGTCTTTAATTTATCACTTGAAGCTTGTAGTTGATCATCAGAATGATGTCGATTCAACTACAATTGGCACTTTATTAACATTTTGAATATTAAAACAAAATATTTTTTATTTACCTGATATCTGGACATATATTTTGAGAAGTCCAATTCTGCTTCAGTTTCTTGAAAATCGCCTTTGCTGTTGTTATTTTCAGTTAAGTCTTTCAAATACCTTTCCTGATTTAATTCAGTAGCTTTCTTAAATCTTCTAAACCAGTCTTCTTTCTCTCGTCCAGTTCGTCCAAAAAGATAAAGACATGTTCCAGATGGATTATCCTTCTAAAACGAACATTTCAATAAAATAATATAGTAACAAAAATTTACAATACATTAACTTACACAAGATGTCGAAACTTCCCATCCTTCCAATTCATCTCCAAAACTACCAATACCATCAGATTCATTTTGGCTTTCTGAAGGATCTTCCTTTGATTGCTGGCTTGATTTTTCTAAGATATCACTAGATGTTTCCTTCTTTTCTTCGTCGTCCTAACAAAAGAAATTTAGTGTTTCATCAAAAATTATAATATACATACTGTAGAACAGCAATTTACCTCGGAATTTGTTTGGCATTCCTGATCTGAAACACCACCTGTACCAAAATCGTCCTTCTCAAATAATTTACTAAAAATAAATAGCATTTTTTATTATATATCACATTTAATGTTCATATAACTTCCAAAATGCACAACAAAAATTTTACGATTACAATAATTATAACGATAACTCTTATACGTTAACAAAAAATATTTAAAATTGATAAAAACGAAAACAGAAACTACAGAATCACCATAAAAAGGAACCTACAAGATAACTCCACAATTTTATTTTTAAAAAAAAAATAAGAAAAATTAAATCATAACCGTAAGATTAAAAAACAAAAAACTATATTTGTAAAAATTTAGCAGGTATTTATTGCAAAATTGCTGGAGCCACAACCAATAAGCTTAAGGAGGTAAACCTGAATCCTGTATGGATTCTTAATTGTGCCCAGAAAAAAATAGTTTCCCTTGTTTTTATTAAATATACAAAATATTTGGACCTTATGAAGTAATAGTGCACAAATATAATGAAAAAAGTCAGCAACTCAGGACGGTGCTCACATTCATAAGATAAGTAACATTATCCAATA